TTATACGAGTTTAATAAAATCAGACTTGTTGAGTGTTCATTAAAGAAAGTCAGTAATGCAAAATGGGCATATATCTTCAATGATGTTTGTATTAAATAAATAAATGTGGCATTGTGATTTTTTTAATTATCGTGGTCTAACAATGATTTGTAATAAAAATTGTAACGTTACGTAGTGTTAGGTTGACGTGTATGGAATTGTGCACGTGTGTGAGTGTGCGTGTGTGTGTGTGTGAGTTTTGTTTCGTTCGCCATCTTGATATAAAATAATAACTTCAAATAATTAGCCAAACATTTATTCACGGTCATATATATTGCACCAGTATTTTGTTGATTTAAAATTTATATACAAAGAAACATATCATAAAATCTTCTTGTGATAGTTCTACTTCTTAAGAGAAATAAATTTTCGCAGTAAATCGATCTTCTTCGATCAACACATGTGGGCTGGAAAATGCATGAGTTGCAACAGAGCACATTTAAGACGCCGTACGGGCAGGTACGTATCAATACGCATATCTCGTAACCAGCAGAGTGATCATCCAACACTCATCATCTGAAACTCGCGCTGCAAATCAATGCATCCTTCAAAGAAGTAGTATAGTATAGTTGTAGAAGAGTAAAAGAAGTATACAAATACATATCAACAGTTTAACCACATTTCTCACAGGCTTTTGACTTTCTTTGCATTATTAGCCGGGACATGATAGTCAACCGACAACTCTACGTAAGTTCTTGTGTAAATTATTCTAATTATGTAAAAAATTATTCTCATTACCACTAATTATGTATAACGATGAAAAATCTAGTTTTTACAAATATGTATGAAATTGCAACAAAACTTATTTAACAATCGCAATGTTAATTTGACACTGGCTGAAGATGACGTAATGTGATGCTACGTCAAGATCCATAATAATTACAACCGAACACGAGAACACGCTGAAGAAAACTCATGTACGTCAGTCAAAGTCCATCCAGCCATCCACTCCCTCATTTCATCGCTATTTCGCAACATCGTACAACAACCATTCGTCTCACTCAGTACTTAAACTTTCAAACATAGGCCGCTAAACTCGTACGTGACTGGATGTTGTGCAATAGCATACAATGTTGTAACACACACAGACACACACTACACACACACACACACACACACACACACACACACACACACACACACACGTACATACATTACATACATAATACATATATACAAACGGACACACAAAAATATTACTGAATGTAAAGGATGTACAGTTTCATCTGTGCAAGCGTGAATACACCGATTTGACACACAATCACCTTACGTGATGGTGGCGGTGAGGGACATTCATCTTTGTAAATGCACACCAGGAACGATCATCATATTGAAGTATCGATCAAAAGTCATCATCAGCTCATATAACAAACTAAAAAATATTATAAAATGGAAACGACTTGAATGCTTATAACTTTTGAAGGAAATAATTTGCAAAAAAAACGTCTTTAGAAACTCATTTTAAACAATCAGTATTACAGATTCTATTTTTCAACTTTTCTATTGCACAGAGCTGGATGCATTGCATTCTATTGCTATTTCTATTTTTGCACATACACATTTGATAGTCTTCGAGTTTTGGACAGGCAGTATTCGAACCGGGTTATCGAGCAATACTAACGCGAAACATGGCGTATTTATTATCTGAGCTAACTCGCCAACCTATAAATTTGTAATAGAATTTAACTTCATAATAAAAAAAATTGAGATACTAGTATGAAGGAAAGCGCTTTTCAATATCTCATTCTGAGACTTTATTAGAAAAACCTCAGTTATTATTATTATTATTATGCGGTGTGTTTGCCTGCCTACGAGTCAATCCTTACACTGATAGGCTGCCCTAGTGAAAACTTGACTTCGGTCTTATTGGTGATGACAAAATATTGGTAGTGATATGAAGTTCAAAAATTTTTAATTTTGCCAAAAAAATAATAAATGTTCAATTTTTATTAATGACAACAACTAAAGTTGGATTATTTTTAATTCTGTCAAATTACTTTTTGATTGAATACTGAATGAAGAACCGATGGATAAATGAACGTGGCTTTTGGTTTTTGTCTATTTATTAATTTTTTTAATACAAGTAACCAATCTATCCAACCATCAATCCATCCATTTTTTATCCACCCATTCATCCGCTTTTTATTCACTCATCCATCCATCCATCCATCCATCCATCCATCTATCCATCCATCCATCCATCCATCCATCCATCCATACATCCATTTAATTATCCTCAATTATTAAAAAATAAATAATTAAAGTCGGTTGTGACCATTAAACATTGAAATAATAATTAAATTATTTGATTAATTAATTATAAACGAAAAATTGTTGAACTTCAATTTTAGATAAAAAAAAATTAAAATTTAAAATAAAATGATAAAATTTAATTTTTTTTCAACGTTTTTGTGATAAAACCAGATTTTTATTCTATTTTAACTTTGAATAGAAAAAAAATTTTTTTACTCCAGTTACAAAAAAAGCGACTAGTTAATTTTCAGGTTGTCATCAACAAGCATCGTCACCATCGACACGTCTACACTGCTTCAACAGATTTAAAGTCAGCAGTTTGAGATTTTATTCTTATATACCGCCAGTAAGAAATGGTGAGAGGTGTCTCTTACTTTTACTCCATATCTCACTACTTCAAAAATTTATATTCTGCCATACTCTCCAGAGTCATGAACATCTCTATCTTTTTATTAATACAGTTTCCATACACCATATATACTGCAGTGGGGAACGAGTGGAGTGAAAATATAACGTTGAATGAGTGTAAGAGTAACATCCATTCATACATTTGCTTCGAGTGAAACATCCCATGTGTTGCATTATACATCTTTAGGATTGACTTACATAAGCTACTGTCTGCCTCTTAAGAGCTGTAGACACTTCCCTAGTCATATTTAACGCTCACATCTCTTCCTTCTCTCTCCTACCCATCTCTTTCTTTATCTTTCTCTCTCCTTTTTATTTTTATTTTTTTCATCCTTCTCTTTTGAGGTGTATGTATTTATATACCCACAGATTTCCTCCATATCTCACTATATTTTATATTAATCTAAAGCAAATTGTTTAATATATAATATACATTGAAGGATTTGCGTATAGAGGTTAGTATAGGCTCATCGAAATCTGTCGCCTAGATAGGGGTTTGCGATAGAACGATTGCTTTTTGCTTACGCTATGGGAATTAGCGGTCAACTGTTCTAGGACACCCCCAGTAGCAAAATTACTGACCTAATTTGAACTTTTGCCCCTAACTTTTTTAGTCGACGTTTCGGGTCGCGTTTCCCGAAAAGCGCCGGCCAAAAATGGCGTCCCCAGCCGCATGTGGCAATAAAAGTATCCTACTCATTGGATTAACTGTTGTTGTTTTGTCTTTTGTTTGTTTCACTGATGGATTTGCTAGCCAGAGGAAGAAAATTTTGGACCCAAAAAGTTAGTAATTTTTTTAAATTTGATTTTCAAAAAAATTTTTAAGGCAATAGACTTTTTGTTGTATAAGTTTTTTAACAAACTTTTCCTTCAAGTGAACGCGCTTCTTGCTATCTTACGTTTACTTGTAAAACAAAACTCAATAAAAAATTTGTAGACCGATTTTTAAGTTTATTGAAATTAAATTCTCGCTGTCGTTACTTGCCATTAATACTGAGATCAATTGTATTTTTATTAAATAATCAGTTGGAACTCTTTAACAATTATTAATTTTATAGATTAAAATTCCTATTTTCCTATTCTTTCCGTTTTTTTATGGTCTTCCCACGGACTCCTCTCGCTAATTTGTTTTCCTATCTCTCTGCAAATGTTTTTATATTTAGTCATATAACAATAATTATTGATAATAATGATTTCATTTATCTCATACATTCACATAGAAGTCAACAGCCTGTATTATAGTCACCAACCAAAATCATTTTAACACGTTATTGGTAACTTTATTCCAACAAATCCCAATAGAAACATACGATGTGTTGGAAAAACCTGAACCAGCAAAAGAGGATGAAAATTACGTAACGTATTACGACAACGGAACGTGCGGTCTGCCTTATCATTTTGTAGATGAGAGTTTAGTCGAATACGAAGCAAAAAATGTAATTGGCCTAGGTTAGCGTTTTTATGTGATAAAATTTTTAATACAATTGAGTAATTTTAACTCCGTTTTGAAACATTTAAACTAAATCATTCATTTATTTTATTTTGAACGTCCTTTTTTTTACTAATATCTAACCTCATGCACATATCACAAAACTTTCAACTATACGTTTTCAGATAAAGCTACCAAAGCGATGAAACTCGGTACAAGTTTTGCCGTCATTTGGACCTTCAAGACCACAGAATATTCGACCACCTTGTTCCGAATGTTTGACAATGACCAAAATTTATCTTTCCAGGTGAAATATGAATCTCCGAGGAAAATTGGTGTCTTCTACCGGGAGAAGAAAAAACCAGGGCGTTGGATAACGAATAGCAAGCCCACACCTCTTCCACTCAACAGTGACCAGTAAGCAATGTTGTACGATTAAAAACAACAGGTGCACGATACGCTCATTTCAAAACGTGCACGTTTACATAGAAATGAATGCAGGCTCTCATTAAATGTGCATTTTATAAACAAGCATCCACCTCCATGGAAGCACCTCATTCAAACGTACGCGCCGCCACTGCTTTTTGCCGACTATTTTTGATAAGTGCGGAAGATTTTTTTCAACGAATATGTATACCAATCTTGAAATTACAAAACATGAAGGAAACTTCAGGCACTGTCACAATGGAGTGCTTTTTTTCAATGTAATTTTCAATTCTGGTATATCACACATTGGAATAAAACGTCAGGTATTCTAAGGAAAGATTTTTCCTATCTGTGGGTTTTGGGGCGATAGTTTTTCAGTTGATTCAGGTTGATTGTAAATCTAAATTGTAAAAGACATGCAATTTTATTTAAATGTGTCAGCTATGTTTATAACTATTTTAGAGTCATTTTGCTAACTGCAATGAGTTGGCTCTATGCTTCTTTTATTTACTTTAATATTCTTTTTTCATTTGCTAAGATATATATATATATATATATATATATATATATATATATATATATATATTCACTTTGGACATATATATATATATATATATATATATATATATATATTATATATAGTGCTTGTGTGTGTGTGTGAGTGTGTGTGTGTTGTGTATTATTTACGTAATTAAATAAATTTCCAAACAGCTTCCACACGGCCATGGTTGTTTTCAACAATGGCGACGTATCCTTCCACGTGAACTGCTCTCTCGTTGACGAAGTGAAAATCAAGAAAGGGTACAAAGCCAATCAGCTGGACATCGGCTCAAGCTCATTGTACCAGTTCGGAGGGACTTTATCAGTGGAGACAGGAGAGAGATATGATACGTTGAACGTGAGTTGTTGCAAATCATACCATCTTAAATCTCATGCCTTTTAAGTTCTAATAACTAATCAATGATTAAGCGATTATAAGTAGAGAATCTTAAACAGTAATATACAATCAATGATTATTTCTTATTTTTGTCTATTTTATATATATATATATATATATATATATATATATATCTATATATATTTCAGTTGATACTGGTTAATCGGACCATCATTTTATTACGAGCAAATAATCGAAATCGGATTGAAATCATATTATTCAAGCTTATTTTGGCAATTTAAACTCTTAAATTCAAACCGAGTCGTTCAAGTTCCAATGTGGTCCGATTAACCGATTAACGGTTTCAAATTATAAACGACGGAACTAATAAATAAAATGGTGATATAATGAGAAAAATTGTACTAGGGTGAACTGGAGGAGTTCTTCATCTACAACGACGACGATGCAGACAAGCTCCACAAATACTGTGTTGAAAGATGTGTTGGTTTGTCGTTTATGTTTTTTTTGGTGATATTAATTTATTTTCCAATTTGTATCATAATTAAATGTTTTAATTTTTTAAATTTTTTTAATTATATCAACATGAAATGAACAACATTTTTCTAATTATTTCAATTGTTAATCGATTTTGATAAATTATTATTTAAAATTTTTAACTTTGATTTTTTTTTAAATTTTCAATTATTCACCCACTGGCTTAGCAATTTTTCTCAAATAATTTATTGCTAGACAAACTTGTATTTATGCTTCCCACAGAAGTAAAAAAAATAGACTAAAAGAGATTCTAATTTTCAGAAGAACACCTTCAGCTAACGCAATTAACACACATTAATTTTTGGCTCGCAAACAGTTAAACCTCCACAAAAACTTGCCCTTCAGCGCAACTCATCCCATTTACCGTGTTAATTGTTAATAGGTTGTTGTCTATATTTCAACAGGAATCCAAATAACGGAGGAGACAACAACAAAAGCTCCAATAACGACAAGAAAACCAAAACCTCCCAAAACAACAACAACTACAACAACGACTACCACAACTACCACAACTACCACAACTACTACAACTACTACAACTACCACAACTACCACTACTACTACAACTACAACCACTACTACAACTCCGACGACAACAACTACTACAACTACCACCACTAAAAGAACGACAACTACTACAACGACAACCACCACAACTACTACAACCACCACAACAAAAAAACCAACTACAACCACCACAACACGTCCACCTGCTACATCACCAAGGGAACCAGTATATGTCTGTTCCTTTCCTCTCTTAATTTTTTTTTTCATTTTATTTCCATAAATACATCGTTGGTTTGGTTTTTTGGGTTATCGTTTATTTTCGCACATTTTTAAAATTGCTATTTTGTCTTTGTCTTAGTTTCTGTTTACCATTTACTGTTTTATGAGACATTCTATAGACCCATCTCTACATCTTTCAAGTCATCTCATCTATTTCTATTCAGACGGATTTTTAATAAATCAGAATCACCTCTCAAAAACATCGTCACTATCATCATCATCCTAACGACCACGAATCTCGCAATCATTATCATCATCCTATTCATCATCATCATCATCACCCTAATCATCATCACCATCACATTAATGATTAGTACCATCATTACCACTACCACTAGGTAGTTGAACACGGGCCCCAAGGACCGCCTGGACCCAAAGGGGAAACGGTTAGATCTGCTGCTTCTGCTGCTGCTGCTGATGATGATGACGACGACGATGATGATGATGGTGATGAAATCGTTGTTTTTGTTGATGATCTGATGACGATGATTACGATGATGTAGTTTTTGTTGTTGTCGTTTCGTTAATGTTATTATTGTCAGAATTTAATTTTTTTTCATTCTACACATTAAAATATCAGCAAGCATATTTTGAAATTTTTTTTATTGCTAGGGATATCCAGGTAGAGATGGCTTTCCCGGATCCATCGGACTTCCAGGTCCTTCCGGTCATGTCGTCATCATTCCCGTTAGTCACTTTTTCGTAGTGTAATAATGCTGCTGCTGCTGATGATGATGTAAATGGTGATGGTGGTGATGACGATGATGATGCTGATGTGAATAGTGATGATGATGATGAGGATGATGATGAGGATGATGATGATGATGATGATGAGGATGATGATGAGGATGATGATGAGGATGATGATGATGATGAGGATGATGATGAGGATGATGATGAGGATGATGATGATGAGGATGATGATGAGGATGATGATGAGGATGATGATGATGATGTGAATAGTGATGATGATGATGATGAGGATGAGGATGATGAGGATGATGATGAGGATGATGATGATGATGATGAGGATGAGGATGATGAGGATGATGATGAGGATGATGATGATGTGAATGGTGATGGTGGTGATGCTGATTATGAAGATGAAAATGGGTTTAACATGACTTAGGGTTTATGGAGTTTGCAATTCATGCTAAAACAAACAAACTTTAAAAAGACCAAAAGAGACAATTCTAATGTTGGAGGTCAAACAGTTAAGGAGAGGTCGGTGATAGTATCAAAGCAAGAATTGGGAGCCGACAAACTGATCCATCATCATACTTTATAGTTCATTTGTAACATTATTGCAAAGAACCACGGAAAAGTGGAAAGATGATTGTCGAGATTGGTATTGGATGCAAAGTTTTAAACGAATCCGGGTTTGTTGTTGATTTCGATCTGCTATCATCCAATACAGACGGTTCACAGTAGCATGCAGCGTTGGTAATGGTTGTGGATTGTACTTCGACAAAAAACGAAAATGGTTGTTTCTAGAAAAGAAACACAATATTTCAACGATCTTTAAAGATCTAAAAGAGATATGTAAATGTCGTGAATGTGATGGTGTGGTAGTGTATAGAGTAATGAAATATATTATAATTAGTTGTTTAATTATTCTCATAATTATCACAATATTTGCATATTATAATTAGCTAGCCTTGAGAGATAGTGCGAAGGGACCGTCCTACGAACTTGAAACTCTCAAAAGCAGGATTGATAATCACATGGTTTGTTGTTGTTGTTGCAGCTGTAGTTGTTGTTGTTGCAGCTGTAGTTGTTGTTGTTGCAGCTGTTGTTGTTGCAGCTGCTGTTGTTGTTTTTGTTGTTGCAGCTGCTGCTGTTGTTGTCTTTATATAGTGTCGTAGAACGTGTTAGTTTTATCTCTTGAGATTTTAATGAAACCGGCTTTTCCATGGTTATTCAGATATCATCATAAATAGACTTTGAAAAGCGTGATACGTAGGTGTGGATTGGTTGTTTACGGAAAGTTTAGATATCCGTGCTTTCGAACCAGGTCTCTGCGCCTCAGCGTTGATTTACATCACTTACAAGTGTGAAAGACATCTTGCAATAAATTTTTACAATTTCAACCGGACACATTTTTTTGGAACTTCAATTGGAGATCTCGATTGAATTGTTAAACTCTTCAATCAACTTTTTATTCAAATAATTTACCACATAATTAATTAATTGTCCTAATTAAATATTTTAATGACTAAAGAAGAAGTGCATTCATAAGTTGATCACATTATAATATTTCACAGTTAGCTCTGAACGGAGCTCCAGGAGGGCAGGGATTCACGGGATTGCCCGGACAGCCTGTGAGTAGCCCTAATTAGCATTAATTAACATTAATTAACATTAACATTAATTAACATTGAATCAAAATATATTTAAATGACATTAAATTGGAATTCATTCATCTAGATCCATTAAATGCCGCGATATATTTAATTATTTCTATTTATTTGTTGGAATTTTTTTTCCGTAACTGAGTAACAAAAATTTCTTCACGTGATTCAGGGTGACCAGGGACTGCCAGGCACAAGGGGGGAGATTGGAGAGCAGGGAGAACAAGTGAGATGATGATGGTGACGACGACGGCGATGATGACGACGACGATGTTAAAAACAGTGTTAATGATGGATGACGACGATGTGTTGATGATGATGACGATGATAAAACTAATCGTAAAAAATTGTGCCTAATCTTAGTTACTCACATCATCACGGTTTCATTCATCATTGTTATTGTTGTTGTTATCATTATTGATATATTGACAACTATCCATTTATATAACCACTAACTTCATCATCTTCATCTTCGTCATCCTCATCATCATCATCACCACCAACATCATCGTCATCATCATCATCATCATCATCATCATCATCATCATCATCATAGGGACCATCAGGCCCACGTGGGTCCCCTGGAATTCCCGGGCCATCTGGAAAAACTGTTTGTTCACTTTCACTTTCGTTTTTATTATTATTTGTTGTGGTTGTTATTATTAAAATTATCATTATTATTATCATTATTATTACCTTGAAAATTCTTTTGAAATTCAGTATTGAATTTATGATGCAGATGAACTTGGCGCGTTGTTAATAGTGCATGCAACAATCTGTTTAACAATAATTTTTAATTATCTAATTAATTAATTAACTAACTAACTAATTAATTAATGTTACTTGATGATGTCCAGGGAGCTATTGGAAACACTGGCGAAAGAGGAGCGCCCGGAGTTCAGGGACTGCCTGTGAGTGATGATAATGATGATGAAGAGGAAAAAGAAGATGATGATGATGTTGATGATGATGTTGATAATGATAATGATAGTAGTGGGGGTGATAGAAATAAGATGATGGTGATGATGTTGATGATGATAATGATGATGATGGTGGTGATAGAAATGAGATGATGGTGATGATGATGGTGATGTCGATTATGGTGACAATGCGTGTGGTGGTTACTACGGTGGGGCCCTAAGATTTATTACCACGTGATTCTAGGGTGACGCCGGATTTGTGGGACCGCAGGGGTTGTGCGGTGTCAAGGGACAGAGGGTGAGTTGTTTTTTTTTAATTATTTTACTTTCATTGAAGATGAATTTTAAGATTAAAGAATAAAATCCTCTCATCGATGATAATAATATTCCTCGTATAATAACCTGTTGGCTCAATGGTTAAAGTCACCTGGTCCTGCTATTGCATTGACCTGGATCGAATGCAAGCGCATTCCCGCCTACCATATGTAGTAATCATTGTGGTGGATGGTTATTTTATATCTCTGACGCAACGGAAATAAGAATGAATGAATTTTAACCTTTCATAATAAAAATAATAATAAAAATATTAAAAATAATAATAATAATAGGGTGCCCAAGGACCAGTTGGTCAAACTGGACAAGTTGGAAAAGACGGAGAAATTGTTAGCCAGTAAAATTTGTTCAAATTATTTTCAATTAATTAATATATTTATTATTAATTGTAAATAGTTAATTATTTATTTCAAACAAAATCAATTTATGCGCGTATTAATTTTAAATTATTTAATTTAAATAAATTTTTAAAATTATTTTCCTCTCCATATTTTCACTGCAGGGACACGCTGGGCCACAAGGACCACCCGGACCTCCTGGAGAGCATGTCAGTGATGATGATGATGACGATGATGATGATGATGACGATGATGGCGATATTGTTGATGTTAACGATGAGGAAGATGATGATGATGAAGATGATGATACTGAGTCTGATGATAAGATTGAAGAGGAAGATGATGATGAGAATAGTGATGATGCTGTTGATGACGATGATAAGATGGAGGACAATGATGAAGATGAGGAAAATGAAGATTGTAATGATGAGGAAGATGACGATGATGCTGATGATGATGTTTTAAGGTTTTGATGATGATGGTGGTGATGATAACCTCGATTGTGATAATCATTAATGATGATATAATATTATAGACAGCTAAATGGTATTTTATGTTAATGATAGTGAAATATATTTTCCAGTTTCATCCATACCTGCTTTCATATTCAATATCGCTACCATCATCATCACTCTCGTCATCATCGTAATCATTATCATCAATAACATCGTTATCATCATTATTATCATCGTAACAGTACATTATCATCATAATCGTCGTCGTCATCATCATCATCATCATTTTGATGTATCCAGGGTCCAAGAGGTTACATTGGGAGCGCTGGTCCACCCGGAATTCCAGGACTTCCTGTAAGTAATGATGATGATGGTAATGGTGATGATGATGATGATGATGGTGATAATGATGATAGTGATGATGAAAATGATGGTGCCAATGATGAAGGTGATGACGGTGTTTAAAATAGTTGATGATGATTTTAATGATAAAAAGAAATGAGAAAGAGGATGTTGATAATGATGACCGTGAAGAAGATGATGATGATGGTGATGATGATGATTGAGATGATGATGGTGATTTATTTGGTTGCAATAGGGAGTGCCCGGATCTGAGGGACCCGCTGGACAGAAAGGAAGTGCTGTAAGTCCATTGGTCTAAATGATGATGATGATGATGGTGATGATGATGATAATGATGATTGTGATAATGATGGTTATGATAAAGGTGATGGTGCTGCTGCTGATGATGATGATGGTGGTGATGATGATGGTGGTGGTGGTGATGGTGATGATGATTGTGAAAATGATGAATGCAATGATGATTGTGATGATGATGGATTTGGTGATGATAATGTTTGTGGTGGCACCAGGTAAAAAGATTTTACTAGCTTATTAAAAATTATCATTCATCGTTCCCAAATATTTTCATCATTATCATCAAAATTATCATCATCACTACTCCCAATCACCACCACCACCACCATCCTCACAATCATCTCCAGGGACCCATTGGATTGCCCGGAAAAGCAGGATCTATCGGATCGCCAGGAGCAGTAGTAAGTTTTCTTTTGTAGCAGACCGACAATCAACGAATTATCGATCGATCATTTTCGACATTTAAAAATGTAACCGTTCGTCATTCACCGACTGAATTTGTATTCAAACAATGAGGAGATTAAACAAGGTAGCCAAATTATCACGTGTAGGGATCTCCAGGATCGCCAGGTCCCAACGGATTGACGGGACCTCAAGGAGCCGTTGGAAAGCCAGGAAAGCCTGGAATGCCAGGAATCGAAGGACCGCAGGTGATCTTTCACGGCAATCCGATGAATTACATAATTAATTATAATAATTAAATCTAATAATTATTTTAACTCGATTCATTCATTTTTTACTTGAACGAATCAGGGGCTGGATGGCATGCAGGGACCAGCCGGGGAGAAGGGAGAGACAGGCCCAGCAGGAATGATTGGCGCTCCGGGATTTGCCGGTGCCCCAGGAGCCAAAGGAGATATTGGTCAGAGAGGACCCAGAGGAAACACCGGCGAACAGGTGGCTCGATGAACTAGTTTGATTAATTCAGCCCCAATTTTAATAAACTCCCAAAATCAACAGATGGTTGATTTGATAATTTTTTATAAATCTACCGATCTGATTCAAAATAAGCAAATCTGATTTAAAAACAACCATTTAATCAAACCTTAACCGCAAAACTTTTCAACAACCCCGTGAACCAGGGTTATCCAGGAGTAGATGGGATACGAGGAGAGACTGGGCGACCAGGTGAGAAGGGGGAGAAGGGAGACAGGGGAGTGCCCGGAGACCAAGGTCCCAGCGGACCAAAGGTTGGTTTTATCGGATTAATATTAATTCTCTGTTAATTTTGTTGGCCGTTTGGTTGTGAATGAAATTTTTATAAAGCCTACAATTTCTAAATACGCTGGCATCCACAATCAACTTTTTGTTGACGTTTCATTTGTCAGTAATCTGCTGAGTAAATTAAAATTTTCTGTAGAGTTTTAAAGAGCGATATTGTTTTAATTTGAAATTTTTTAATTTATTTCAATTTTCAACCGTTATTTTTTAGTTGAACATCATGTTGAAAAGTAATAATATTGAAAAGTAATAATGTTGAAAAGTAATAATGTTGAAAAGTAATAGTGTTGAAGAGTAACAATGTTGAAAAGTAATGATGTTGAAAATTAATAATATTGAAAATTCACTCAGGGAGCCATCGGAGGACGTGGCAAGCCCGGTTTGCTTGGCGCCAGAGGAGAGAAGGTAGTGTTGTTGTAGTTGTCCATTGATATTGCTGTTGTTTCGTTGTGATTGTTGTTTTTTACTCTTATTGCTGTTTAGTCATAGGTGATGTGTTGTTTTTGCTATTTTGTTGCTGCTGCAAGGGGTATAGACACCAGAGGTTCCAAATATTTTTAACCAGGGTCTCATGAAGTAAAAGGAACCCCAAAGTATAAGAAATGATTTGTTGACTTTATTGGTCACGCCGTTTATGATGAAAAAAAATTTAATTTTGCTTCAAAATTGTTAACTAACCTTTTGAACCGTAATGACAGGGTCACCAAGGTGAGGCCGGTTTTCCCGGGGTGCCTGGAGCCCCTGGAGAGAAGGTAGGTACTCTTTTTTTCTTTTTTCATTATAAAATTTTATCAGTCTAGTCCACGCATTATTCAAATAAAGATTCGTTATTGTCGTCGTTTTCAAATTAATCCGTTTGTTTTAAATCATTCAATCGTTTAAGCATTATTTCAATTCATTCATTAATTCATCTGCCACAATCAACCTGGCTTTTTGTGAGTCTGTCGTAGTGGTATATTCGTTCAAACTTGGCATTCAACTGTTCAAGTTTTGGTTTATTGATTTGTTGGCTCATTAACTCATTCGTTTGTTCGTTCGTTTGTTTGTGCTCATTCATTCGTTCGCTTATTCAATAAATAACTCGTTCTGTCGTTATTCTTATGAAACGATAAACGAAAATTATTTAATTAATTATGTTCAATTAACGTTTAACTAATTAACGTTTAATTAACTTTTATCTAACGTTTAACTAGGGCAACCGAGGCAACCAGGGAGATTTTGGAAAAGAAGGAGCCAAAGGAAACAGAGTAAGTGCCCTGAGTAATTAAAACAAAATTGTTTATTATTATTTAAATTATAATAATAATATTTATAATAATGTCAATACTTATTAAAAATATTGTGTTTCTTTTTTCAGTTATACACATTGATTATGAATTTTTATTGCTAGAACACTGCAGGTTGTTTAATGTTATTTATTTAGGGTCCAGTCGGTCAAGCAGGAGAACGTGGACTTCTCGGACCACAGGTACGTTTGTCTGTCTGTCCGTCTGTCTGTTCGTATGTTTGTTCGTACGATAGTTCGCGTGTGTTTAACATATCAATTTAACATCTATCATATTCCTCACATTATCATCATCATCGTCGTCATTATCATCTTCATCGTCATCATCATCTTCATCGTCATCATCATCGTCATCAACATCCTCGTCATCATCTATACCATCATCATCCTCATCGTCATTATAACAATCAGGGAGCTAGAGGACCACGAGGCAAGGCAGGACCGACAGGCAACCCAGGACCCAAAGGGGACATTGGCCCTCAAGGTCTGCAGGGGCCTCAAGGAGAGCAAGGAACTCAGGGACCACAGGGACCCGTCGGTTTCCAAGGACCTCAGGGACCAACCGTGAGTTACAATAATAGCGATGACATGATTGTTATGATGATGAAAACGACGATGGTGATGATGACGACGACAATGATGTTGACCACAAGGATGACGATGATGATGATGACCACGATGATGATGGTGATGATGATGATGAAATTTGTGGTGATCATTATAAGATCAATAAGAGCGTTTCCGCGATCAATATGATGATGACAATGTAGAGGCTGAATAATAACAGCGTTTTTTAAAGATTTTGCGAGTATGTTAGACTTAGATTAAATGGATTTTTATTCTAAAATGTGCTGATGTGTCTTTAAATTTGCTCACAATACACACCACAACTCACCACCACAACCCACCACACCACGACAGGGTCCCCAAGGAAAGGATGGGGCTGCCGGATTCCCCGGAGAACGTGGAGAAGCAGTCAGTAACTATTTCTATTTTGTGTCGCGATTTTGTGTAGTGTTGATTTATAATGTTAATGTCGTTTATGGATTGTAATTGTAATGCTATGCTTCCGTAACCTTTATAATTACATATATAAATCTTATAAATCTCATTAACATAAAAATCACGATAACATTAATTGACCTAATTAGATACATCTAACTTAATTACGTAATTGAATGACCTATTTACAAAGCAACCGACCCATTATATAACAAGATGACCCAGTTACATGATTACGTGACCCAATTAGATAATTAACTGACTCACGTCATCACGTTACCCCATCAGGGTATTCCAGGTGCTCCAGGTCAAGTTGGTCCAGTCGGACAAGTCGGACAACCCGTGAGTTACTGTTGTTGATAATGATGACGATGATGAAGATGACGATGATGTTGATGTTAATGATGTGCGATATAATGATGATGATAAGGATGATGAGGAGGATGATGATGATGATGACAACGACCATTATCATCATCAAAATCATCATGGTAATCACTATCACCATCACGAAAGCCATCGTTATCATCACCATAATCATCACCATCATTATCAAAATGAAATAATCATCATCATCGTTACTGTAATCATCATCACCATCGCAGGGACCCCCAGGAGAGCATGGACTTCTGGGAGAGAGGGGACAGCAGGGATATCCCGTTAGTTCATTTATTATTTTTTGTATTATTATTATTATTATATTTGTTGTTATCAATCCTGATATCTACGCTTTACCAACGCTTGTTATTATCTTCCGAATCTAAATTCATATTCTACCTGAATTAAATTAAATGAAATAAAAATTAAATGAAATAAAATATAAATTAAATTAAATATAAATGAAATAAAATATAAATGAAATGAAATATAAATGAAATAAAATATAAGTTAAATATAAATTAAATAAAATATGGATTAAATAAAATTTAAATTAAATAAAATATAAATTAAATTAAATATAAATTAAATAAAATATAATTCAGGGTCCAGCTGGTGTGAGGGGAAGTCCAGGAGAGACAGGAAAGGAAGGACCAGCTGTTAGTGGGCGGAGTTTAATGTGGTGGTGATGATGATAATTATGACGGTGATGATGATGATGATGATTATGATGATGGTGATGATGAAGAGGAGGAGTATAATGATGATGATAAGAAAGATAATGATGATGATGATGATGGTGATGATGATTATGATGATGGTGATGATGAAGAGAAGGAGGATAATGATGATGATAAGGAGGATAATGATGAAGATAAGGAGGATAATGATGATGATAATAAGGAGGATAATGAGGATGATAACTCATCAACTTACCAACCAACCCCCGACAAACCAACTCATCAACTGACCAACAAACCAACCAACCAATTAACCACCAGGGCCCAGCAGGACTTCTTGGTTTGCCGGGATCACCCGGTCAGGCAGGTCCAAGAGGATTCCCAGGAAAGAGAGGACTGCCAGGACTCCAGGTACACACATACGCGCGCGCACAACTGCACAACTTTTCACGCACATATACAAATATCTACTCGCACACAAACGCACACACATAGGTAAAGAGGTACATGCAAATAAATCGTGTATCCTATCGAAATATGCACTTTATTAAAATTGAAACAGAGATGCAACAGTTTGAAACAAGCAAGCTGATAATGCACATAGGTGACGATACGTGGAATATGAATTCAATAATCATTGCAATACATACATCCACAAGTATTCATGCACGTACCTTTGTCTCCAACACACACACGCGACACACACACAGGGAACAACAGGATTGATAGGAGAACCAGGACAGTTCGGCCATCCAGGTCGCCAGGGAGAGAAGGGGGCATGGGGTGTTCCAGGAGAGGCCGGCCCGCAAGGAGCTCCCGTTAGAATTCTAAATTGATCTTATTAGTTAAAATATTGTTACAGACGTGAAGGCAAGATAAGAATTGGTAATTAGAAATTAAAGGGAAGCGCTTGATAATTTAATTAAGAGGCGGAGCCAATGAAAACGGTTGTAAAAGTCATGTGATGCACTTACTAGCAAAAAGGCGTGAACGATTGGAAAGTCACGTGACGCGGCATCACAAACTATATAAGGAGGGAAAGGAACGAAAAAGAGGAAATAGAAAGAGAGAAAAGAGAAGAGAGATTAGAGAGAGAAGTGCACGAATTAACAAGGAACGACGATAATTAGGAAGAAGTCAGAAGAAGTTTCAGGCGGTCCTATTATCGCAGAGATATTTTGTGTGCGTACTGCAAACAAATTAGCGATAACGCCCAAGGAGAAGTTTGTCTCGAAGAATTCTACACGCGGTCTGCGAGTGAATTACGATAATCTTCCGAGAAGTGGATACTTAGGATTTACGGTCAAGAAACATCTGACGAGAAAAGCTTAATTATTGACAATTAGTTTTATCCTGTGATTTAACTGTTGATTAGTTATTGTTTTGTATTCTAACGATTTTAACGGTCGAACGAACGAGTGATCGATTACGGCAATTGCCAGCTCTGTTTTCTTTCTAATAAAGTCATCTAAAATAAGTCTGTTTAGAAATCAAGAATCCGCGTAAAGAAAAATAACCATACCCTACAAGTTCAAGGGGTCGGTTATAACAATATTTTGAAAGCTCGATCGAAATTGTTATCAACAACATCAATAACTACGATGACCTGTTGATACAATGGCACTTCTTACAAAGTCTAAACAGTGTCCAGTTTAATGATAGAAAAAATTAATAAAATTTGAACATTAAACTAAAAAAATTGTAAAAATTTAAATTACCCAAATGGATAGAGCAATCTAAAAAAAAAACAATGTTTGATAATTTTGAAATGGACAGGGCAGACCGGGCCAGCCAGGACCGTACGGGCCAGCCGGAGGGAAGGGAGACACTGTGAGTTTGTGATGTTGTGTGCGCTGCTGTGTGCTGTTGTATGAGTTGTCTTGTGTGTGTTGTCTTGTGTGTGTTGTGTGTTTTACTCGATTTGTGTTCATGGACTCTGGGAGTGTTTTGTTGTTTCTGCATTTGTGATTTGTTTGTTGTTGTGCAAGCTGTTTTATGGTGCTGTTGTGCTATAAGTTATTATATTCAATTATGATTTTAATAATATGGACAGGGCGAGCCAGGACCCACCGGCAATCCAGGTAAAGATGGAGAAGTTGGCCTACCCGTGAGTAATCATTTTGTATCCTGTTGTCTGTTTTGTATCATATTTACCTGGTCGGCGAGTTAGCTCAGTCGATAAAAGCGTCACGTCTTGCGCTTTTATTTTGCGATGACCTGCTTCGAATACTGTCTATCAAATACTGAATGACTATCATAGACCATGGGTGTATGAGGTGATGCTTGTGCGTGCCTACGTGATGTGTGCGTGCGACAGTAGTGAAGACATCGTAGCGTGTGAGCAGCGTTTTTCTAAGCTGCATAATAAAACAAAGCAGCAACCCAACAACAACCAAACCATCAACCCAACAACAACCAAACCATCAACACAATAACAACCAACCACCAATAACCAACCAATCATCCACAGGGAGCTGAGGGAGCACCAGGACCCGTCGGAAGACCTGGAGTCATCGGAGAAAAAGTTATTTGATTGATGAATTCATTAATTCATTTTTCCTTTCATTCATTCTCTTTTCCAAGTGTTTATTAGTTCATTAGATCATTTATTCATTTATTTATTCGTTCATTCATGTTTAATAAACTTTCTTAACATTACTTTTTTCATAAGAAATACTTTTATTTATGATTTGAATATTATTTTTATAACAATTAATAAAATAAATAAATAATTTAATTAATTAATTAATTTTTTGACTGCAGGGTGATGTTGGCAAACATGGAATGAAAGGAGAGAAGGGAGACGCCGGTGAATATGTGAGCCGTCATTTATCATAATTTATTCGTTTATTTGCATATAATTAGCATCTCGATTCAGTGCAGTTTCTAAATTTTATTCTGATAAACATCCAAATCTTTTCCAATAAAATTAATAAAATCAAATCCAATAAAATCTTATTAATAATATTTTGAAATCTAATCGATTAATTAAATAATTTATTCAATTCAATCTTTACAATTTTGTGCCTGCATCTAATTAACAATTTATTATTTAAATTCGCCCACTATTTTTGAATATTTCATGTTAATATTCAGGGCCCGCCAGGCTTCCCAGGTGCCCCCGGAGTACCAGGCCCCCATGGACCTGATGGACCTCAGGGAGACCAGGGCGAGAGGGGGATCCCCGGTATTGCCGGTATCAAGGTTAGGGGGATTATATTCCGAGTTTCAATTTCCTAGTACCATTTTCTGTAGTACCTTTTTTACAGTTATCGTCAATTTTAAAATTGCGGTTCAGGATCAAAAACACTATTTATTTTACTCACCCACTCTTTCACTCCCCATCTTTCGCATCATCATCCCCACCATCATCATTACAATCATCATCATCACCAGGGTAACGAGGGACCACGTGGATTCAGGGGACCAGCGGGTCTTCCTGGAGTTCAGGGCCCACCAGGTGCGCCAGGAAGCAAAGGAGATCCAGGAGAGACAGGACCTGCTGTTCGTTCTTCTTTTTAATGCTTTTTTTTTATTTTTTCCAACAAAAATTTTGATATATGAAACTGCTTTTTACTAATTTGCATACAAATTACATTTTAAAACT